CTTTTATTTTCAAAAAGCTTTAAACCAAAAGAAAATTAGGATTCAAATGAGCATGAGTCTTTGTAGTCAATATTTAAATTTATGGAATGTAAGGAAAGCTGACTGGGCTTTATGTGTATGCTGTATAGGAGATACCTAAGTTCCATGTGGGGAATAAATGGATTGACAGAATGGATAAATACAGTTGAGAAATTTAGTATTTTTAAAGAATGTGTTTATTAAGCAAAGACAATTTTGAAAATATAATTTATTGTTCTATTATTTGTATAAAGCAAAGCACTGTCAATTGGAATTTTGGAATAGAGGTACCTGCAGGGCCTCCAAAGCAAAACACTGGGGGAGTTGGGTGATGTGTCAGGTCCTTACAGTCCTGCAGCCATGAAAAAATACCTCCCTAAGACTGGCTTGATGGAGATAGAAAAAATCCATCCGGAGTGGGCCAATCCAGACCCAAAAAAGACAAATACTGTTTTTGATTTGTACTTTTTTTCCTTTAAAAGTCTGATATGGGAACTACAATCTAGTAACCACAGAGGTTTGGTACTTGGTAAAGGACCAGAAGGGAGGAGAGTATCTCTCAAGGAAGGGGAAAGTCTATAGTGTGTTGAAGATATACATGAGCACTAGATTAGGAGGGTTTAATTAGAGGAAGATGGGAGAGAAGGATAAAGGAGGGAATATGAGCAGGGACAATCAACACTGCAGACCCTTTGAAAAACTATATGGGAACTGACTACCCCAGAAGCTTCCTATACATAAGTGAAAGGAATCTAAACGGGCTCAAAACATAATAGGTTTGACAAGGCTCCAATTAGACATCTTATGCCACTATCTTAAACCTCCTGTGCCAGGGGCAAGGTACAGCCTGTTGAGTCCTTAACCAAAGGGACCCTCAGAAACCCCCAAATAGCACAGGGTATTTCCAAGGCTGTTGGTGTCTCTGCACAACCTGATGTGAAGTCTTGTTTCTGAAAGTAACACTTCTGTCATTGAACATGGAGAAGTTCAGCTGACGTCTAACTAGATTCTTCACCTACTAACCAGAGTTCATGGTACTGGAAGGCAGTCTGTACTGGAGAGAAAGGTAATCCTCAATATCTCTCAGCTAC